GTGATGGAGCCCTGCTTTCCTGGAGATGGCTGAACACCCGCCTGCCGATGGGAAGGAGTGAATGAATTCCTTGCTTTGCTTTGCTTGCGTGCGCGGCTTTTGCTTTTCCTATTAAACTGTCTTTATCTCAACCCACGAGTTTTCTCACTTTTACCCTTCTGATTCTCTCCCCCATCCCACTGGGGGGAGTGAGCGAGCAGCTGTGTGGGGCTTAGTTGCCGGCTGGGGTCAAACTACGACAGAAAGAAGCACCCAAGGCAGGTGTTCCCAGGACTTACTCGGAGAGTGTGGTCCCAGGAGCCCGAGCAGAACGCCGTCCCATCGGGAGAGACCCGCAAGGTGCTGACACGATTTTCATGTCCAAACAGAATGGATACACGGGACCCTTTCAGCACATCCCAGACATTTATGGTGTAATCATTATAGCCTGCAAACAGTAGGCGACCTACAAAGAGAAAGATTTTACAAAGTGAGGTCTTAAGTAGGTAACACATCTTGACTGCAGCGAGGGCCTTCTGCAGGACATTCATCACCCAGTGAGCCACAACCCAGTGAGCCTTCCCATGCCACCCTCTGCACACAGCGAGCTCTGACCACAGCTTCCCCCAAGCTACCTGTGCTCCTGTTAGACACCCCTGCTCCACTGCTGAGCTATCCATACTAAACGCTGAACCAATTAAAATTTATTAGTTAAAAATATAGTTAAAATTGAGTTAAATTATATAGAATCTGTTCAGTCATTAGATGGGAGATGACTCCAAATCACGATAGACTGAAGAGCACTTCAACAGCTAAGGCAGGGTAATAATATTTTGCTCAGACTTTACGCAAGAAGTTGAATACAAATGGTTGAATGATTAGTAGACAATTTAGTAAGTGATTCATGGTCCCCAGTGGGACAAGCTGTGGTGCTTGTGGCCATGACAGAGACATTTGCCTCTGTCCCGAGCAGAAGGCAGTTCACCACCCACTCATCCCCACGCAGGGTGACTGGAGGAGCTCTGCATTTGTGCTGGGGAAGGAGAGAGAAGACTTGAGCTCATGTCTCCGGACCTGTAGTGAAAAATGGTAATGTCTCTGTCTTCATGCTCCTTTAACATACTTTTACTATCTATTAATCATTTATTATCCTTTTATAAACTATTTATGTAAGTGCGCTTAATAGTCTAGTTACATTTCATGTTTCCTTTGAAATGTTTTTAATCATTATTGTGAAATTCTAGCCCAGCTGTAATTAAAGGCAAAATATTTCCTGCCTTCAGTAGGGCCAGGAAAATACTTTTCATTGCTACAATGAAGCAATAGCCAGCTAGGTCATTTAAGAGTAATTATTTTTACAGAGGCAAAAAAAGGCTTCCATGCATTAAATGTTTCTTTTGGTACTTAGTATTACTTTTAATAACTTTTAATAACAAATGCTTTATCAAATTAAACTGGCAAAATTTTACAATTCCCCTCAAATCCCAACACTAAGATAACCTCCAAAGTTCAGCTCTCACCACTGAGAGAGAAGTCCACACTGGATGCTCCAAAAATGATGCTCTCTTTGGAATAAATTGCTACTTCTCTGTCTGCACGAAGGTCATATAAACGACACTAGGATTAAAACAAAACCAACACACATGCCTCAGTAAAGGCTGGAGTCAATGGCTACTACATTTCATTGAAAAAAATGGGATTGGGAAGGACTGCAGCCTAACAGGCATCACGGGAAGCGGCTGCTTGGCTTCTTTCCTTCTGCTATTTCTGCCTGCTCTAACTGGGACTCCTCTGGAGTCTAACAGAGATCTAAGCAACACAAGGTTGTTTTGTATAAATTGAGTGAAGAACTTGCTTTTCCAAACCACTTCTCTAAGCCTCCTGCCTGTCCTGCTATAAAGAGATGAGCGGTGGGTTTTGGACCATGGCTACCCACTGAAAGTCCCCCCACCCTCTTGCTTCCCCACTGTGGTTTCCTATATGTTAGGGCATCCTGCTGCTGGGGAGGTGCGTGGGGAGACAGTCTCTAAAGACAACAGTTTAGCCACAGCTGGAGCCTGGGAGACAGAGGATTAAATCTCTAGTCATCTTTGAGAACACGGACCACATGGCACATTGCTCAGACACTCCCTTGGCACGGGGAAGCCTAGACAGTAGTCCTTGCTCTGAGTAAGACAGGATAGCAAACAGCCCCTGCCCTTGCGTGAGGCCTCTCTGTCTGAAAAACCTACGTGAAAATAATTCAAGTGAAAGAATACATTTTTATACAGATCTTTGGTTTTCATTTCTCATGGAAAATCCCCAATCACCTCTACAACCTGCACTTCCTGTTTTTATCATATGCCAGAATATTTAGGCTTGCTTAGCATGGAAATAATGTATAGACAGACCAGACTTCATTGCCATGTGGAAAGGCAGTCTGCTAACCCCGAAATCAAAACGCACTTTTGAAACTATTTGAACTGAAAACCTTCCTCAATAAGTTAAGTTTAAGCAAACACTGGCCAGATGGGTTGGCTAATATTAAGACTTTACTAATGAAAAATGGCTGATACTCAAGCCTGCACACAAAGGAGAGGCTGTTTATTCGCAGGGCGGTGGGGAGCTGCCAGGTATGTGAAGTCCAGGTCTCCCAGTGCTCCACGCTGATGAGTAATTCCATCAGACTATTCTGATAGGGAGTCGGGGTCACCGCAGGTGACAGCACTGCCATGTGAGCACGCTTTTATGGTTTCCCTCCAGACAGTCAGGATTATCTGTTCCTCGAAATCCCTAAGTATATAAATCAGGTCAAGGATACCAGTCAGTGTATCAGTCCGTAACGCTGAAAACACCAACCTCTTCATTTAAAGAATGAAGTAGATGGAAACTGCCAAAACCTCTGTCAAAAGTACAGAGATGGAATTTCCCTTTCTCCTGCTCAAGTCAGGGGTGTCAGGAATAGTTAAGAGAGAAAACCCCCATCAAATAAATTAATAAGCACAGGAGCCCAGAGCCTGTGGTACTGGGCATAAAAAGAGAGTGCTCTCATTGGAATTTAATGATCGACTCCATCTCACTCCCTCAGCATCTGAAGTGCTCAGAGTAACGCATGCGAATGTGCAGAGAGGCAATGGGCTCACCACAGAACTAGAGGTATTAATTTATAGTCGCAGCTTTTAAGACCTAAAAGCAGTGTACACTCTCTCCAGAAGAGCCTTGGAAGGTCTCCCACATCCAGTGAAGACAAAGGGAATATTTCTATTGAGTTTAGCTAGTATTGGAGCAGACTAAAAACATGCTCTGAGGGCAGATTACTTTAGAAAGAGTCTTCACCCTCATGCAACTCGGTGTGATGTTTGAATAAACAGGAGAAACAAGGTGCCAGGTGCCTCCCAAACGTCTGCTCTCAAGTTACACTTAACTGCCACATCGGTCCCTGCAGGGATGTGGTACAGGCAAAGCCTGGTCCCCCATGGGGACCCACCAGCTGCAGCAAGAGCCATCAGCCGTGTGCATCACTCAGGGGGCAATGGGAGGGAAGTCGCATTTTGCATACAATGTGCTGACCGAAATTACCTGTCAATACATACTGTGCCCCTCCTAGCAGCTTGCTCGTAGATAAGTAAGATCCAGCAAGAGCTACTGTATCATCTAGGATGACCTGGATGCGGTGACTCATCGCAGTGAAGAGTGCTGGCAGTGAGTCAGGCTGACAGGGAGGAGATGTACGTGGCCAAGGCCACCCTGGGGCTGCGCTCTCAGGATGCACGGGGCTGCGGAGGCCAGCTGACTGGGTCTGCCCCGCTCCGTGCTGAGCCCACAGCCCCTCTGCTTGCCGGGACATGCGCACTCATGTGCAGGCTCCCTTCATGCCCTTGCACTGTGCTGCTCCTTCTGACACAAGCTGCAGCATTTCATCTGGTTCCTCCCATGTTGTGAACAACCACTATATGAAGCCAGATCTCCTCCACTAAGACAAACTAATTTTGATCGTGAAACTTCAAAACCTGGAAAATCTGAGATGAATATTCGGACAGTACCTCATGTAGAGAAGTTTGCAGAGGTGACCTACAAAGTGTTACTAGATTTTCCCTATCGCATTATATATAGTATTTAAGATATATTATATTATAGCATTATTATTTCTGCAACTTTGGTGTCACAGGCCCAGTTTAGTCACTTAAAGTCCTCTGTGGATGTGACCGAGTCTTTTAGGAAAATCTGACTTGGGAAGAAACAGAACTTCCCTAAATGAGGTTGCTGAATTAACATACCGTGGCATCGTCTGAACCAGAGGCAAAAGCATCTCCACTTGGGTAATATCTGCGCACGAGTAAAAAAAGACCAGAACACATTACATTACTTGGATGAGGTCAGACTTCAAAAATAGAACCAGCGCATTGCTTAACATCGCAAATGTGTCCTCTCCCAGAAACACACTGACCTGACACTGTTGATATCTGAATCGTGGGTTTCAAATGACTGGATGCACTGACCAGACCGCATATCCCAAACCATGGCTTTCTTGTCACATCCCTAATAAGACAAAAAAATTCACTACAATTGTGCAAATGCTGACATTCACCCCTCATGTGCCTGATACACTTCATCAGGCCCAGCTACATTCAAAGGCTCTGAACATCACAGCTCTGGGGGATTTAACCGGCAAAGCAGCCCCAGAACTGGCTGCACTGGCACCCCCAAGCCTGGTGCAGTCGCAGTTAGGAGCAGAGTACACCACAAAGGCTGGAGCCTCAGCGGTGCTGCAGACCAGCACACGCATAGCACTGGGGTGCAGACAGGCCGGGGGCGTTTGCACAGGCAGTCCCGTACTAACCGGCACTCACAGCCCAGCTCTGCTTGTGCTGCTGCCGTACCTGTGTCTGCAGTCCCACCATGCCACACAGCTGCACAACCAACTCATTCCCTTACCACTTAACATGCCCAATATAAAAAATTAATACCCAGCATTTAAAGTTTTATAACTAATTCTTTTCATACACTGAAATACAAAATGAAATAAGTGCATCTGGAGGGTCTCTTGCCCAGCCTCCTACCAGAGTTAACCCCTGCCGTGGCTCTGCAGCCACGTGCCCAATGGCGTGGTTGGGATAAGGAAAGAAGCACAACAGCATTTCATCTCATTGTCAAGCTCTAAAGTGCCCTTCCAAGCTGTGCTTTGAAGATACGATTTAAGATTTGGTGCTTGCTGCGAGGTGCTCAGCACCCTGAATGCTTTGGGCGAGGGGCTCAGCCCAAGTAGTCTGCAATGTCCTCAGGGCAGGAACCATCTCATACCTGTAGGGCCACACTCTGAGCTGCAATGTCTCACTGCTGTCACAATCGCAGTGACAGGAAAAAGAACATGGACTTTTCTTTTAAGAGTGGCGGGAGATTTTAATAAATATAACCCTGCTGAGGGGCAGGCCGAAGGTAGGCTCAGCTCCCGGGGGCTCAGCCTCTCTGAGGCTGCGTGGGAAGCACAGGGCAGGCCAGGCGGCTGCTGCTTCTGCCGAGCTAGCATGTCCTGCCCAGCAGACCATGCCACACGTTATTTATTTTTAAGCAAATATGATTGCTAATTAAATTAAACAGTCTTCACAATTCACATCTTTCTCTCTTTTTTTTGAATTCTCTTGTTAAAATGAAATCCCAGGTTTTTTACTAATGATGTCATTATTTAAAAGAGGTAATGTTCCTTTGTATCAACTTGTGGTTTCTGCGCAAGGGAAACCAAACAGGATAGAGAATATTTTGGACTCAGCATATTTCCCTCTCAAGCCCCACCACAGCCCAAGCCCAGCCCTTCGTATTGCTTCCATGTGCGCTGTTGTTACTGACCTCTCTGGGAGGTTGGGGGCAAGACCAATCTGACAAGCTGGTGCTTTGACTCCTAAGGTTTTGAAGGAGAAATCAGCAACCACCTGCGGAGAGATGGCCCCCCCGAGTGCTATCCAACTCGCCCCGAGGAGCAGCGCTCAGAGGGCACTGAGCACAACAGCCTGGGACGCAGCCCTGAGCTCACCCAGGAGGGCTGGGATTTTCAGTTAAGTTGTTAAATGTCACAGCACCCAGTCTACACACTGATGTATTGGCATTGGTTATTCCAACTCAAGGTTACTGTCTGACATAGGCACAATATACAGGGAGTCTCTCTATGCTACCATACCTTCAGGTTGGCTATATATGCATTAACACAATATAAGACAGATCTTCACTGAAGTGGTATGTTGCATGTGATGAATTAAGCGAGTCTCTGTAAGCATGGACATGCCCAGGCTGCTACATCAACACAAGTATGACATATTCTCTTAGCAGTACCATAGCTGCTTGCGATTCTTTGCCCTATAATAAGCTGAGCTGTTCCCAGGGAGAATGAATCTATCCTTTCTGGGAAGCAAGCTCGGTGACAGGAAAGCCCAGGAGGAGTAATGCACTCGGATGGAATTAGCTTTCAGTCACGCTTCGGAGCAGCTGTGCTAGCAGCAGGCAAACTGGGCCAGTGTGCTGGGCTCTGCTCCTGATGGGCCAGCCAAATGTGATAAAAGACAGAAAGGGTCCAGGTTTATTGTATAGGGATGAGACCATGACTCTGAACACAACAAGTGGAATCCCCTAATCCATGGTCAGCACCTTCTGGCACAAGGGCCATTTCCATCGGCAAGCACAGGGCAGCCCTGGGCCAGCGCTGGTGGGCTCAGAAACCAGGTACCTTCAGCAAAGTTTCTGGTAGCAACCTGTCTCCAGTAAGAGAGGTCATCTCTCAGCTCCTGCCAGCTCTCACTTGCACGCTCAATGTGGGAAAGACCAGGACCACCTCGAAAAGGAGTTGAGCCCCATCCCGCTCACCTTTATGCCTTGCCTGCCTCACTGCCCGGCTGCATGCCAATGGCTCAGCTGCCCGGGAACAGCAATCCCTCAGCAGCAGGACAAGATTTGGAAGATGCCCTGGGTACTTTCCCTGACCAGTCCTGCAGCCCCAGTGAGGTTTGTGTGTTCCTCTGGGCCAGGAACAGGGAGCAGGCAGTGTTCAACTGACGAAGGGGCTTTAAATGCCTCTGGTACCGCTGAAAGGCACAGAGGACTCAGCAACAGCTGAAGATGTGGCCACACCTCATGTCCCTGCTCCAACTTGTACAAGGGTTTAGCCAGCATCCAAGCTACCCCTTGGCTTCTGGGGAGCGGTTGAGGGACGTAGTGGCACGCACGTTATTTGCAGCCCCGCTTCGATGCCCTGAGCAGCTACCTGGCATGCCCTGTCTGGCTCCAGAGAGCTGGGCACAAGAAAGGAGCCAAATGTGGGAAGTCGTCTGCTGTGCCAGGCTCCTATCCACAGGGGCTCACACCTCCACTGCGGTACGAGCCCTCTGCTCTAACTCTGAGCCTCTCCCTTCCCGGGAGAGGCGTTGTTTTGATCTCGGGCTGGATTGCTTTGGTGTGGGGTGGAATTTGCTAAGTAAGCAGAACTGCAGTCAGACTGGCTGGGTGGGTTTGACCCCACAGTCAGGGGTTTAATTTGCTCCAGCTTGGAAAATGTGCTTGCAATGAGTGGATTGCACTGGGGCTTCCAACACATACTCCAGCACTCTCTCAATAAGATCACGAGCCTCCTGCTTTGTTGCCTTTTCCCCTCCACATTCCTTAATTTTATATTACGATAGGAAGCTCCTGCTTACCCCAGAGACAAATGTATTTCCTGTTTCAGAAGGGGCCAGGTCCAGGCACAGGACATCAGCTCCATGACCATGGAAACTCTGTAAAAGCTGCCCACTCTCAACATCCCACAGAGCGCAAGTTCCATCTCCACTTGCTGTCAGGATCTATAGAATGTGGCAAGAAGAGTCAATACAAAAATCAGCAGATGATCTTCAAGTTCACAAAGAAACAACTGACATCCTATACATACACCAAGGACAGCTTTAATTTAATGAAATATTATGCAATAAATCAAAGGCATAAAACCAATGTGAATCTAAGCACAGTTTATGTTTTTTATTTTTAAGGAAAGATGTTAGAATGGAAAGGAGAGCTGTATTGACACAGCTATACCTACATAGTGTTTCAATAATGGTCAGGTTTGTGCAGTGGGGTTTGGAGAACTGATGGCAGTAAGGATCTGCTGGCATTTCCATATACTCCAAAAAGGAGGTAGAACCAGACTGGTATTCCTTTCTGCCCCTGTATTTAACCCTATCCCTATTTAGGCTGCTGGAATTCAACCCAGGTAAAGAGAAGAACTGTTGGAGTTAAGTATACCTGTTAAACTCTCTAAATTTTTTTCTGCTTGAAATAGCCAGGTTAAGCTCAATTAATTGGGCTTAAGACATGGTTTTTCTGAAAGGGAAGTAAGCCTGTCTAGACAGTTGTTTGGTAAGTCCATCACCTCTCACTTGTCCAAAACCATTTGTGTGTGAAAGGGCTTGAACATACACTGACCGAACATAGCTCACAGCTCCCCTCATCTGCTACAGTGCTTGTAGAAAGCACATGCGATCAGCGCTTCTTAGGGTGGCTAAATCCTGATGATGCTCAATTGTTCAAAATTTCCCCTTGGCACCCGAAGCTGTTATGCAATCACAAATTCTGTAGGTTGAAAGGGTCCCTGTGCACCGGCGTGGAAGGAGGCAAGGGTGAACTTAGGAGGGCTCTCAGTCTTGTACACAGGTTTTTCTCATGGTCAGTGAGGAAACTCAAGGGATCCCAGTAGGTAGTTAGAAGTTAAAAAGAAAATACTCTTCAAGAAGAAAACGATCACACAATCGTGAAACCATTCACAGAGTTGCATAAAGGTTAAACACTGAACATGTTTGACAGATGCTCCAAAAACTCCTCCCATAAACAGAGGTCTGCAAAGCTGCAGAACAGACTGTTCCGAATCCTGCAGTAGAGAGACACTAATACTCTGAGATGATAATAACAGAAGAAAGTCCTGACTTGTCTTTCTGGCCAGCTTTTGAGCCTAGATCAATGAACTTCTCTGTTCTGAGGAATATTTGTACTTGGCTGAGGAACGAAGACTTTCAGCTGAGAATTTGCTCTTGTAATAGTGTGTAAGAAAGATATGAGGGGGATAGGAGTAGCTAAAGGTGTAAGGGAAGGGTCTGTTGGCAACCCAGAGCTCCAGCTAACGCTTAAAGAGAAATGTTATGGACTCAACTTCAGGGTATTGCTATTGAAAACCAAACCAAACCAAACCAACTCCAAAAATCCAAAACCAGAAGGGGATTAACAATCTTTGCCATTACAGTCCGGCTTGCTGCATGAGGGGCTCCGGCAGCACTGGATGGGGATCCTCGCCTGGCGCCTGGCGGCAAAAGGCAGCACTTGCACACGGCAGGGGACAGCGGGGACAGAGCCCCTGCTGCCAGGAGCACATGCACCCGGGCTGGGAGCAGCGGCGAGGGCAGAAGGGCCACCCTCACCTCTGCCTCCTCCGCCATCGCCACGGGCCTCATCCTGCTTCTCAGCCCTGCTGCACTGGGAGTATGGCTGCCTGCCCTATGCAAAACACTTGAGATCCCAATTAACTGTTGCTATTAATACACATGGAGCGTTGTCATGTGGGGAGCATTATCACACCGCAGAGCTGCAGATACCTAATTTAGGAAGCGAGGCTCCCCGGCTCTCTGCGTACTGAGATGGGGGAGGCTCTCTCTGGCTAGACTGATTTGGGACACCGAGAGCAAGGTGTGCGGGTCACCCAGCCCGTCAGCTCAGCACTTGTCTTGGCCCAGGGTGGGAACATGATGAGGAGCAAGGATGGGACTCCCTCTTTCAGCAGCCTGAGAGTGGCTTTAATCAATGATGAACCACCCCCAGATGCCCACGGGCACACCAACTCCTAAACTGCAACCCTGACTTCCACTCCTCTGAAGGAAAACCGAGCTGTAGTTTAAGAGAGCAGCCAAGGCAGAGCAACAGCATTCACAGCACCTAGCAATGGGTGCTGGATGCTGCAGGGGCACTGGGCTGGGGGACACCTCCACCACGCGCTAGGGCTGCTCCAGGACAGGTACCACATCCCTCGGTTACGCGAGCTGGGAAAGCAGAGCACACAGCTCGGAAAGCTCCTGTGCAGTGTGCAGCTCCTTGCACTGTACACCCTCAGAGTTACTGAATAATTTTAATTCTGAGGCTGTTATGTAAAAGGAAAAGGATAAGAAATCTGCGATTCTCTAGGATCCCCTACATAACAGTGTCCTAACAGAAGTTTGGCCAACCCACTTGCTTGTATTTGTTTCAATAATAACATGCAGTGCTATAAATGATTGCTTATAAGCCTATCAATCACAAGAAAATTTCTTTTTAAAGTCTTTAGAAAAATCTCTGAGTCACTGAATATAAAGCACCTAAATCCACTGTGGTATTACTTAACAATAGTAATACATTACCTTCAATATCAATGCAGTTTGCTGTATTTAATATGGAGAAAAAAGACCTAACTTTTCTTTCTTTTTTAATTAAGAAAAATAATTAACTATTTTCCCTTTCATAGAATTTAACCACGATGCATATAGGTATAGACAAGAAAAGAGAATACTGGTTTTCTATCTCATCCAAAACATTCCACTTAATTTAGACTGCAGGGCTCCTGCACAGTAAGGTCAGGGCTAAGAAAGCCTGAGTGCTGGGTACCTCCACCATTTGTTTCCATGGTAATGGACTTAAATTAGCACCTTGGAGTCATTACAGAAACCATAGAACGACAAATAGCAACATACTCTTGGGCAGCTCATGTCCTGAAATAGAAGCAATGAGAGCTGATATTTTCTTCAGAAGAGCTCCAAATATCTGGAAGAAGGGGACAAGGTATTCTCTTTCCAGCAGCTCTGCTGACACAGAGAGCAATGAAAATGCTCCCTTCTGCCACTTATTTTGCTGCAGAGCTGCACTGAGCAGAGCTTCAGTTAAATTCAAAAACTAGAGAGGACAAGGGGATTATCCTGGCTCCTTTCATCATCTTTCGTGTTCCTGGAGAAAGAGATCTTTAGGATATTCACTACAGAGGAAGGCTGGCCTGGTCTCAGAAGATCTGCATCTAGTTCCTGGCTTTGCCTTCGTCTCCCACTGTGGCCCTCTGTGCTCCAACCCCCCGGCTGCGAGATGGGGATAGCATCACTCCTTCCCCTCGACGGAACACACCACTGCATGTACGGACAACAGGGCTGGCCCTGTGGGGCCATCCTCAAGCTGGAATATCTCACTCGATACAAACAAAAAATACTAAGAATGAAAGCAAAAGCAAAGTTGGCTGGACATCCAGGACAAAGCAGGCAAACAACACAGTCTCCACTGGCTGGCATAGCACATACCCAACCTAGTCCTATCTCAGCTGGGTTTTTAACTATTTGTATTAGTTTGAGCTCCTAAAAGCACAAGCCAGCACAGACCCAGTGAGCAGAGAACACACAAGTACCAGTGAGCTCCCTCTGCAGAAGGGACAGGCCTGTGCAGCGCGCAGGCTTGACAGCATGGCCACGGGCTGTGACAAGCATTTCCTTACAGCAGCTTTTGCAGCACCTTCATTGCCCCCAGCGAGGGTTTTCCAGCAGCCCCTGCATGGGGCAGGACAAGGCCCTGGGTGCCCCAGGTGCAAGGAAGGTTACTTGCACCACGTACGAGTGCAGCTCATGTTAGGTGTTGCTGGATGGTGAGCAGCGGGTAGGGAATGCATTTACCTGCATGTCTGAGTTAGTGAAGCTGCAGGCAGACAAGTAGTTTGTGTGCATTGCAACCGATTTCTTCTTTGCAGCCATATTTTCATTTTTGTCAAATGTCAGAGGGTACACAGAGCACTTGTTGTCCAGGCCACTAAAGAAAGTAATAATAGCAATAACAGAGAGAGGAGAACTGGTTAAAACTGCAACGACAAAAGGCGAGTGGTGATAAGAAGGAAACCACCTGTCAGTGCTGCGCTGCCAAACCCTTACAAGTACCGACTTCCCTGTATTGTGCTGTCCGGGATCTCCCTGTGCAGGGAAGCCCCAGCTGCTTCACCAGGCTGGCTACTTTACAGAACTTGAACAGCTGCGCCTCAGTATTTTTTACCCTCATCGAGTTTATAAATGGCACTGAATGAAACCTCACGAAAGTATAAACTGGGAGGTGACATAGCAGGCACCTCAGGGTTAATGTTTCACATACAGCCAAACTGCCATTTTTCTGTTGATACCCGTCATCGCGAGGATCAGTATTTAAGCATCATTATTTATCTACCTTAATAAATTTTACCTAACTCCTACGGAAGAGACGGTATAGCAAGTAGTGGGTGTGAAGACAGGGCTCTTAGAAGAGTTTGGAAAAAAGGCAACAGAAGCACTGACCTCTATAGCTGCTGTGTCCCTCTTGGACAGTTGCACCAGTTAAGCTGTGCCTCCCAGGCCAGATGTGGGACTCTTTTCTAAAAGGTCTGTCTTGTGTCTGACCCTTTTCTAGAGCCGTGGTAGATCAGCCCTCCCTGGTCCCTGCAATCCCAGCACACCACCAGGTGCTGGTTCTATGCCTTATATTACATGCACAGCACTTAACTGACAACACAACAGAAATACAGAATTAGGTAGTGCAATACATATATGCCCTCCCTGTCTCTCTTACAAGTGTGAAGACAGAGCTTTCTTGCAATTCTTCGAGTTTTAGTCAAAAACATACAGTTTCCGGACTCCCTCTCCACACACATTTATGGACTCCGCCTGTCTGTCTCAGTTTGCTGCTTTCTAGATTTGCAAGCTGCACAGTAAAGTCTCCCTTTGTTCCTTTCTCTCGCCCCAAGCTTGCTTTGTCTGTCTGATCCACCCAGTCCCTTTTTAAAAGATGTTTTGCCAACATCTCATCTCTTTGTTTTCTCCCCTGCATAAACTCAATTTTTTCAAACCTGAGCCCTCAGAAAACTTGGAGAAGGTTATCAAGGATGGGGTTACTTCTCCCCACCCCATCTTGGCAAGATCTATTCATGTGCTGGTAATCATTAATGACTAACCTTCTCTATGTCATAGAAGAAAGAGTGCAAAGTAAAAACAGGGTTAAAACCACTCTCCCTTAGAAGATATATCCAACGCACACAACCAAATTGGAACAGGGAATTTGCATGCATGCAGAATTCCTAACCCATGATATAAATGCTGAAAGAGGATTATTTTCCATGCTTACACAACAAATGTTATTGCACTGAAGTCAGTGGAGATAATGTCTACGAGCCATTATGGGAATAGAACCAGAGGCACTGAATGTAGTCCTTCCCCCCACAATCAAGGCACGCAAACTCTAGCTGTCAGCATCTTAAGGCACTGGGACACCACTATAAATGAAGTTTCTCTGTGTAAGCAGCTGTGGAAACTGGGAACTTACCCACAAGCAATGGCACATCCAGATGGAGCATATGCACATGCCATCACCCAGGTACATGGCATCGTCACTGCGTGTTCCTGAAACACAGCATCCCTTTAAACTGGTATGTCACTGTTTCTCTAATCGGCGCAAGGAAAACAGTGTAGAGTAGTAAGTTCAATATTTCTGTGGGACATCCCTAGAGTCAGTGAAAGGTACAGGTGTTTCCCCCAACCACAACTCACATGTAAGGCTTGGACAACCCTTACTGCAGAACACAGCAGAGCAGCGGGAGGATGGCTAGTCCCTCCCTGACACTTTCCACCTTATTCATGAGCCCCAAACTGATCACAGAGCATGTCTTACTTGGGTTACTCAGTGCTGTAAAAGGTCCCCACTGCTGCACATGTAAAAGTGAGTTACAAACAAGCTGTTTTTTCTCCGCTGTGTGGAGCAGGGTGCCATGAGGCAGCCCTGGCAGGGCTTGGAGGAGCAGCAGCACCATTTCACGGTGAACACCACGGCTGAAGGATCCTGAGTGATCACACACGACACCTGGTACAGGGGTTACCAGGGAGGGCCTCTGTTTTGCTGGCTGGGCTTTGCCCCTAGCCAGGAGCCCTTCCTCTCAGCGAAGAGACTGGATCAGAGCCTCCCGCTGGAGACCACGACAAACCCCAGTGCCCTGACAGGGACTTTGCTCAAAGACTGGTCAAGGGAGGTGGTTTGCCCTGGGCCCCTTGATTTGAGGTGCTTGTGGAGGTCTGCATGTTATCCCATCATCCCGCTGCCCCCGTGACACCTGTGAGCCCTTCAGTCCTCCATCTTATCCCACCATCATCTGCCCTGTGCACAGAAATCTGACTTTTGCTGAAGTTCCGCTTACCTTGTTGGTAGTGAAGGAATCCCACACGATCACCTTCCCATCCTAAATGAAAGCGTACAAACAGAGGGAAAAATTGAGGCCTTCCAGAGACATGGCTGTCAGCCTACTTCCTGGATTTGGGGAAAACTCTGTTGCTCATTTCCATCCCCCGGTCTGTTATGCCATGAAATTTTTGTCTCCATTTTAACAACAGCACAATGGTCACAGTGAAGCACCAAGGAGAGACTCCTCAGTAGCGTGAGTTATGTCTTTGACCAGAAGAAAAGCATATCTCCTCCTCACTGAGATGACTGATGTGGGCTTAAAAGACTAATTCCGCCCCCCCCGCTTCCCTTTTAGCGGGTTTATGAGAACTCCTCTCACTTGCAGCACACGCCATGGACAGGACTGTCTCCTCAGGAAACTGCCACTAGTGAGCCCTTGCTTGCCTCCTTTCAGTCACGATATGTTTCTCCCAGCCTGTAATCACCACCTGCAAAGCAGGTCACCTCTCCAAAGTGATATCTGTCAGTGGCTCAGTATGGGGCCTTACAAATACAAGAGGTGACCTGTATTACAAATCACTTGCCAAGCTGGTAGCACTCATGAAGACTATTTATGGACATTGCACTGTTTATTCATCTTCCCTTTCCTGCCTTTTCCTGGTTTTTCCTTTACTTCTCACTATACTTACTTGACCTTCAATTATCCATTGATACAATCTGTTAAATAGCCATCGTAAGAACACTCCACAGAGAGCAACACAATCACTTTGTGTCTGCCAGCTACACTCAAGCCGGCTACTTTGCCTTATGCACATAATATTGTTATCCTCCCTGTATCATGAAAGTAAAATGTTTATTACTGAACAACAGTAATTGTTGCTGTACCTGGACTCACTACAGTTCTTAAAACAGAGTAAGAAATGCAAAAATGCATTACAACTTGCCTGTTCAGCTTTCTGATCTACACAGTGACATTTTAACCACTTTAAAAAATGTGACATTGATTATTTAAAATTATTCTCTTGCTGAGATCACCATGAATGGTAAAAACTCACAGTAACTGAAGGTGGCTTGCAATGCAGATTGCCTATTTTTATCCCTCAAGTGAGACCCCTGACAGATTTCATATAGGTCAATGAACAGCTGTGAGATGCAACAAGCTCACTCACTGCCATACTGGGCTCAGGACGAACCAGGGGATCTAGAAAGTAATTATCTCATTACCTCCTCCAGCTCATAAGACTGGTCTTGAGCAGGTGTTAGGACTGTTTCTCAAAACGCCCAAGTAAATGCAGTAATTTTGGCAGGATGTTTGAGGCTTTCAAGGTCACACCAATCATACAGACTGCAGAAGAAATTTCTGTGCACAGAAATCTCTAGAAGAATCAACATTTCTTCCCTTCCCTTTTCCTGATTATTTTCTCTGAAGACATAAAGTGAAATCATTACTAAATATGTTATCTGTAAAGAACAAGGAAATAAAAGTGGCCTCAGATGAGTTCTCTCTATTTTCTGTTGTAGTAGGGAGTACGGGGAAAATCTGTATATGACTGGCCAAGAATATTTAGGGTCTTAGCTACAACAGGTGTAGCGATGATCAGAAGCTTGGATTTGTGCTCTCTGAACAAATACATTGCCAATGAACTGCTTTCAGGGCATCTTGAAAACATTTACAATATACACAGGTATTATCTGCAAAGAGTGGCACATAGTACAGCCAAAAGATTTGTATAGTGCCCAACAGTAGCTTTGAAAAACATCTGCCCAACAGCATACCTGCGAAGAGCTCACAATTCTTCTCTTGTCTTTGCACCAGTCCATACAGAGAACTTTATTTCCGTGGCCCTTCAGGGTCCTCCTCGTCTTCATCACAAACTGGCCCAGCGCCTCCACCCGCTCTGCCACCTGATGAACTGCAAACAGCTGATGGTTAGAGAGCCCTGCATCAAAGCCCTGCCCCTGGCAAATCTCTACGTTTATGAGTAATGTCACATGGAGGAATTAATCCATGAAGTTTGAGTCTATGGTGCAAGCCAACTAACTCTGCTTCAGAGCTGGCAGGTGGTAAAACCAAGGTGGGCGGTGTATGAACACATTCACCAGATAAAGATAAGGATGAATTCACTCAGGGCTTGAATTCCAAGGCTGTACCAGCTGAAGCTCTTGCAGACCATCACACCCAAGTATATCTGGAAAAGAGATTGCCCCCTTGCCCCCTCTTATTGGGAAATCCTTAGTCTGACTAAGGCTTGAAAGTGCGCAGACAGCCTCCAGCCTAACACGTGCCTCAAGGTACTCAACAGAAGTGAAGACCGCTACCGAGTCTTGGAGGAAAAATCATACAAAAGAAGGGGGTAACGATCCAAAGTGTCAATGTTCTGGATGTGAGACTCCCAGCCGCAGTCAGCTCTCGGCACCGCAGCTGTGGTGCAGTGTGATACAGGTACTAGCCACTGGTGCTGGAGACTTCTCCTCTGCTGTGCCACTCCTTCTGGTGGCCAGGGGAGCACTGAGGGCCAGGACACAGCTCTGAGTGGCATTTGCTAGAAGAGTGCACTACACAACTTCTCAACAGTGTCTACGGACATCGAGGACTTCATGGGTGAGTCAGTTTTTTCTTTTATGGGAAAGATTAACAGAGAGGGCAGGCAAGCAACTCTCCTGAGTAGCATCCTCTGGTGGAGGAGAAGTCAGTTCTTTTGCACCTCATTTAATAGCAGTACTTTCAGCTAATGTTCTTAAAAACCCAACAAATCTACATTTCCAATTGTGCAAACTCACTTTGACATAAAATTCATCCCACTGCAGCTGACACAACTAAAAGGTGTTTCATGTAACCCTGATGCTTCATGCTGGGGTCATCTGCACATGTCTGGAGAAAGCGTCACCTGAGGAAACCTATTTGCTCTGCTCCAGCATTGTTCATCCAGCGTGGAACTGAGTAGGGCCATGATGTATCTTGGAACCCTGTGGCAGCTCTGACACACTTCACACGAAGCATCAGGGAGGGTGGGAGTTGCTTCAAGTCTCACAGCAGAGTAGGGGTCCTGGGGCAGGAGACCCTGGCGCCAGAATTAAAAATTACTCTGTCTAGAGAAGAGCTGGTAGGATCCAGCACTTCCCTGTGTTGTGTGTTTGACCATGCTGAAACCTAAGATGATCCAACTGCTGTTAGCTAAGGGGGCAATGCCTTACGCCAACCTTTTGACATAAATGTAGAAGCTCGCATACTTCAATGAGGTGGTGGAGGAAATCTTAAGCTTTTCAATGCCATGCTGAAGGCTGAGCTCCACATCCCACATGGCAGGTGATTGCTCTGGAACTTCATTGCTGCTTCACCTTTCGTCACCCTTCTGGAAGTGCAAGAAAGCTCATGGGCTAGGAAGGGCTGTCACAGTGAGAGAGCAGGCATCCTTAACTTTGAAATCATTCCCTGGCACAGGGTCGGGGGAGCAATTTCTACCTAAGGCAGAGACTGATTTCTGGTGGATTAGCTTTTGAAGAGCTGTCTTTCAAAACCACCAGCCCTGCAAGCTGTGCCAGAATAATGTTCTCACCTGAAATCTCTGCTCGACAGTCTCACCCAGCCAGGGGACAAGCGCTGTCCACTGTTCCTGACAATTTGTCCATACCATCTCTAACAGGAGGTCAGAAGCAAGCTTCTGAGAAAGTACCATATAAACCCACTGAGGAAAAGATACATTTCCCCCTACTTTTGCCCATGTAAACCTGCCAGATGATCCAATCAAAAGACATGAAAAAACAGGACAGGAGGTTATTATGGCAGCTGGAAAGATGCTTGTGTCCAGAACATATCTGAAAAAACAAACATTTCACAGACAATGGGCAAAGCGTTTCCATTATGTCAACACAGCCGAGACTCTGTGGAATTGTCTGGTTTAGCCTTACTGATTCTCTGAGGACGCTTATCTCCAACCACAGCCATAATAATCCTGCACCCGCCTAGCACAGGTTTTAGAGTCAGATAATTATTTTGAAGCATTCTCCAATATTGTTTCAAGATAGTTGAAAATTATGCACTCAGGCAAGTAGATCAGCTAAAGCCAATAGCAGCTTGAGTGGTTTTACAAAGGTCCAGATAAAACAGGCTATTTTTCTAAAACATATCGTTTGGCCTGAACAGGAGGTATGGACTTGATGCAGATACTGTTGGGTCTTTGATCTTTTCTGTGCTGGAAGTCTGTTGGTCCCAATGGTCTCTTCTGGCCTTAAAAATTTATGGATCACAGGAACAGAAGAAATTGTTTTACCTACACCTAAAATTTTAAGATAGAATTGAATCCTTAAAATTGTAAAATTGCAAATCAAACGCATGTTTGGTATTTCCTTTTTCTATCCACATTTTTGAGAGCTGCTGTTCAAAACCAGTTGAACAAACAAGGGCAATCCTAGTTCAGCCAGCTGTTTGTTTTGGGAACCATAGAAGGAAAGTCATGATCAGAGCAAAAAAATGCAAAAGATACAATTTTAGATTAGGAAAAAAAAAAAAAAACAAAACAGAAGAGATGCTTTATTCTGAAACTTACAATCTCTGCAGAAATAGTTCTTAGGGATAATTTAAGTGCAAAAAAGCTCTGATACAGAATCAATGATATAAAATATCATGAGGGAGCATTGTTCTACAGCAGCATAAGACTTTTGTCTTAGAAATCATGTCATGGCTATGCAAACACAGCCTTCCAACATAAGTTTACAGATATGTCATATGACAAAGACATAAATATCCTATGACTGTCAATGACACGCAGAGTTATGGTATCACTGCAACCACAGGTAAAACTCTTTGTGAGCAAAACCAGATTTAAGTATATACTTAAGGGGTCTGTTAAACAGAGGCCCCACTACTTCTGATACAGAAATTATACTGTAGGAATATGATGATTTATGGTAATGTTTCTGTAATGAGGCCATCTCCATTTATTTAATGATTCTTATTAATAGGACACTCATATAACATGATTGTCTAATTTAGACAAGAAAATGCTCTTTTTACTCCAGGAAAAAATCTTTTAACCCTCTCCCACCTGAAATTTAAGAATGTTTGCTAGTCACTCAGTCTTACAGAACACTAAGAGCTAAATCACTGGATACAGATTCCTTTTCAACATGTAAGGCATCAAAACAGATGAAATAAAAGTTTTAATGATCCGCTAATATTTCTAATGAAGTGAGCTATCTGATTTCAGAGGAATACAGTAATTCACGTTTTTCTCAAAAAAAAAAAACCCTGCAATATATTATATCATTGTAATTATAAAAATGAAATAATAAAACTAAAAGGATTTTTATATCTCAGGACAGATGAATTAATACTTATTTGAGAAAATCCATAAAAATAAGGTTAGCTTATTTTTTCCTGAACGCGGGGGGGCAGGGCTGAAATCTGTCCGTGTCATCTCTGTTACGTTAACCATGGATCTTGAAACTGCGGCTGACAACAGTGTTACGCATTGACAGCTCGAGCATCGACTCACCCCGCACCTCTGAATCAGCACTGGATCCCTGCAAGTTGTTTCTTTGGGGGAAGGCGGGGAGAAGGAGCTGTTTTTTGGAAACAACGTTCCTTTTTAAGCCCTTTCACCTTGCGTGAAATCCTAGCCTCGTTAAAGCAAATTCCCATCAACTTCCACAAGGCTGGGCTTAATCTTTCTTTCTGCCACCAAAACGTGCGTTAGAAGGATGCAAACAGATCTCCGGATCCCCCGAGGGGGATAC